ATGTTACGGCAGAACTCGGCCTGATTGGATCAAGTATGTCGCTGACCATCAGCAAGCTGAATGGACAGCAAGAGACCATTCACACTGTCCCAGTATCGTGCACTCTGCGAAGTGTTGACGGAGCCACGTCGACGACTCTCCATGCGTGCACAATCGAGCAGCCAACAGGCAACATGGAAGTTGTAGACTGGCACCACCTGGGAAAGCAGTACGCACATCTAGCCAACGTTGAGTTTCCGCCGCTACCGTCGAAACGCCACATTGACGTGCTTATCGGTGCCGACTATCCGGAGCTTCACATGGCGTATGAAGAGCGCTCGGGTAACAGCCATGAGCCCGTGGCGCGTCGGACGGCATTAGGTTGGACCTGCATCGGCCAAGTACAACCAGCACACCCAGCGGCGAGCTGCTGCTTCACAATGTTCAGCGACGGTGACCTACAGAGCAGCTTGAAGCGCCTGTGGGAAATCGAAGAAGTGAACAGCAGCACTACGAAATTCATGTCACGCGACGACAAGGTGGCAGAGCAGAAAGTTGCAGCGTCGTTGAAGGTGACGGACGGCCGCTACTGCGTTGGCATACCCTGGAAATCCGAACGTCCAGTCATGCCTGAAAGCCGAGCGAAGGCACTCGGCCGTCTGCACAGCTTGGAGAAGCGGCTGCGACGTGACTCAGCAGCAGCAACAGCGTACAGCGATGTCATCCGCAAGTACCTAGCCAACGGGTACATTCGACGAGTGCCTGACAACGAGTGTGGAGGTTCTGTAAACGAATGGTACCTTCCACACTTCGCCATCATCCGTGAAGATAAGGCCACCACGAAGACACGTGTGGTTTTCGACGCAGCTGGCATCAGCAATGGTGTAGCGCTGAACGATGTTATCAGTGCTGGTCCCAAGCTGCAGCAATCGCTACCGAAGGTACTCCTGCGCTTCCGGCAGAACAAGGTCGCCATCATCTGCGACATCCAGGAGATGTATCTCCAGATATCCCTGGCTCCGGAGGACAGGCCCTTCCATCGCTTTCTTTGGCGGGATAACGAGCAGGAACTGGCCACATATGAGTTCAATCGAGTGGTCTTCGGTGTGAACGCGTCGCCTTTCCTAGCGCAGTACGCGGCTAGACACAATGCTCATCAGCACGCCGACACCTATCCTCGTGCAGCGGAAACGGTCCTTGAGTCAACGTACATGGATGACTCCATGGACTCTGTTCGAAGCGATGAGGAAGGCGTTGAGCTCGTAAGGCAGCTGTCGGCGTTGTGGCACAAAGCCAGTATGCACCCGCGAAAATGGCTGAGCAACTCCACGGCGGTGTTGCAGACCATCCCGGAGGAGGATCGCGCTGAGGAGATCAACCTCACGAAGGGAGAGCTGCCGAATGTCAAGACACTGGGAGTCCTCTGGCTTGCCAAGGAGGACCAGTTCACGTTCCAGCTGCAGCTGTCGGAGATCGGCTCAAATCCTACGAAGCGCGCATTTCTCAGTGCAACAGCAAGTTTGTTTGATCCACTTGGACTCCTCGCACCGTACCTCGTGCAAGCAAAGGTCCTGCTGCAAGAGATGTGGCTTTGTGGAGCAGCATGGGATGAGCAACTGCCCCCAGCAATCGTCAAGAAGGTTCTCGGCTGGCTTGAGCAGGTGACGGAGCTATCAACAGTACGTGTACCACGCTGCCTGACGGCCACGGGACGCACAGCAATCAGCAGCCAGCTTCACGTGTTCTCAGATGCGTCCGAGGTCGCATACGGAGCAGTCGCGTATCTGGTCAGTCACTATGACACTGGAGAACCGACAGCACGGTTCGTCGCAAGCAAGGTCCGTGTGGCACCAGTGACTGCTGTCAGCGTTCCGCGGCTTGAGCTAATGGCGGCGACAACCGGAGCAACGCTCGCCACATCATCCGCCGAGTCACTGAACCTCGACCCCCGAGCAACGACGCTATGGTCGGACAGCAGCAACGTTCTGCACTGGATCACCAACTACAGCCGCACCTTCAAGCAGTTTGTGGCTAGTCGAGTGGGCGAGATTCAACGGCAAACCAATCCTACCCAGTGGCGGTACGTGCCCACCGCGCTCAATCCAGCCGACCTGGTCTCTCGAGGAATGTCAGTGCAAGAGTTGGCGGGAAGCAGTTTATGGTGGAACGGTCCCGGCTTCTTGGGTGCCGCTGAAAGTGAATGGCCTGTTCAGCCAGAATTGAAGCCCCGTCCGTCAACTCTGGAGTTGAAGAAAGACAATCAACCGACGGACGAGTCCATCGAGCTGACTGCGGTGACCGTCGACCAAAGCCACAGCGAGCTGAATCGTCTAGAGCCAAGTCGCTACTCCGACTGGGCACGATTGTGCCGTATTCATGCTTGGTGTGTGCGATTCGCTACGAATTGCTCAGTACCACCCGCACAGCGAGAGTTTGCTGAATTATCGCCACAAGCGATCCGAGACTCTGAGGAGTTCTTCATCAAGCGAGCGCAGCAACAGTCGCTACCAGAGTATGCTGCAGTTAAGGCAGGCAAGCCGATCCCTGCAACCAGCAAGCTGGTCTCGCTCAAGCCAATGATTGACGACGCTGGCCTTCTACGTGTCGGAGGTCGACTACAGCATGCAGACTTCTTGACTGCAGAACAACGCAATCCGATCGTCCTACCACGAGGGGATCATGTGACACAGCTGATTGTCAAGGCATGTCACGAACGAGGATATCACGTGTTCGGTGTCAGCCATACGCTAGCCGAACTCTCGTCGCGCTACTGGATCGTCGCTGGCCGCGAAGAGGTGCGAGCTTGGGAAGCCAAGTGTGCGAGGTGCGCCCGGAACCGTACGAAGCCGGCAATGCAGGTGATGGCGCCACTACCTAAGGTCCGAGTCAACCTGCCGCTACGCGCATTCGGCCGAGTCTCCGTAGACTACGCTGGACCGTTTATGACGAAGCAGGGTCGCGGCAAGACACAACACAAGCGGTACCTGTGCTTGTTCACCTGCTTGCAGACGAGAGCAGTGCATCTCGAGCTGTCATACGCGTTGACAACGGACTCGTTCCTGCAGGCGTACGTACGCTTCACCAATCGACGGGGAGTACCGATCGACGTCATCTCCGACAATGGCACGAATTTCGTCGGCGCCACCAATGAGCTTGCTCAGCTAGTCAAGCAGCTTGATGCAGAGGCGATTCAGCGGCAGACAGCGGATCAGCAGACTAGCTGGCGTTTCAACCCGCCAGCAGCACCACATTTCGGTGGAGTGCATGAGGCGTTAGTAAAATCGGCAAAGCGTGCTATCTCGGCGATTCTGAAGAACGCGGAGGTCACAGACGAGGAGCTATTGTCTGCTATCGTCGGCGCGGAGGCGCTCATGAACTCACGGCCACTGTCCTACGTGTCGGCAGATGGTCGTGACCCAACTCCGCTAACGCCCAATCATTTCATGTATGGCCAAATCGGTACTCGGTTCGCACCTGCAGGAGTGGACGAGAGCGAGTTCAACCCTCGGCAACGCTGGCGTGTAGTGCAAGAACTCGTGCTGCACTTTTGGCGGAGATGGATGCAGGAAGTCGTGCCAGAGCTGAACCGGCGACTCAAGTGGAGGACGGCCGAGACAGACCTCAAGGTCGACGACATCGTTCTAGTGACATCCCAAGACAACCCACGGGGCACCTGGCCAATGGGTCGCGTCACCGAAGTGCACCCTGGTCCAGACGGACACGTGCGAGTTGTGAAGGTCAAGGTGGGCGACAAGACCTACACCCGCCCAATCGTGCGTATTTGTAAGCTATTCTGTGAGTAGCTCCTTGTTTGCCTATTTCAGAACAATAATCAATTTCGAATTTTTTGGTCACTGTGAATTTCGGCACAGTGAGAAGGGAGAGAAATGTTTAGAAGAGTATCTCTTTGTTGTTGTTACTATAATCGAGTGGCACATTCGCACTACAATTCTACGAGTGCTAGTTTGAAATTACGTTACGAATTGTTACGTTGTACAGCAGGTACGAAACAATTAATATTTACATACTCACCGGTTTTCGTTTCGGAGTCCCGCGCTGTGACTCAGCTAATTTCTATTTCGTTTGCCTTGTATTGTCTGACTAGGGGCGCTGTCACCCCGTCAGGTGCAAGCACCCTTGGACAGAAGCACTTCACTTCACGACAAGTGTTCATTTTCGTTTTCCTCTTCTGCTTCTGTTGCACAGTTTGAACTTTGAATGTGTGCTTTTTTCGTACTCTGCTCTCGATCGAACCATGCGCGGGTCGATCTCCATAATTTTATCTTCCGTTGCCATGACTGGCATTAGTACGCGTTCTGTACTCACTCGCTGCTTGGCACGCTTGCAGCGCGTCTTTTTTCTGTTGCAACCCAGTGCCTGCGTGCACGGTACGGGATTTGCGATGCCACATCAGCGTTGGTGTGTCGTTGTGTTTCGTTGTTGTTTTGTTCTTTTGCTGAGTGTGGTCGTTAAAACTGAGCAAGAACGGGTCGTTGACAAGGCGTGGTTTCTATGTGCATGCCCTCCTGTCAACTCCAAACTACCCTGCCCACCCAATTCTTCCTCACTCTTTCTCCTTTCTTACACTATTATCTCTTATTGGCCACTGGCTATCGTGAGAATAAAGATTTGAAACAACAACTCCCATTCTTGTAAAGTTCAAAGTGATGTAAATCACTTTCCAACTGTTTAACCCACAATCTCACCTCCTCATCAATTTATCTCTTATTGGCGATGGTGCCATCGTGAGAATAAAGAATTCAAACAAACAACAACAACAACAACAACAACAACAACAACAACAACAACAACAACAACAACAGCAACAGCAACAGCAACAGCAACAGCAACAGCAACAGCAACAGCAACAGCAACAGCAACAGCAACAGCAACAGCAACAGCAACAGCAACAGCAACAGCAACAGCAACAGCAACAGCAACAGCAACAGCAACAGCAACAGCAACAGCAACAGCAACAGCAACAGCAACAGCAACAGCAACAGCAACAGCAACAGCAACAGCAACAGCAACAGCAACAGCAACAGCAACAGCAACAGCAACAGCAACAGCAACAGCAACAGCAACAGCAACAGCAACAGCAACAGCAACAGCAACAGCAACAGCAACAGCAACAGCAACAGCAACAGCAACAGCAACAGCAACAGCAACAGCAACAGCAACAGCAACAGCAACAGCAACAGCAACAGCAACAGCAACAGCAACAGCAACAGCAACAGCAACAGCAACAGCAACAGCAACAACAACAACAACAACAACAACAACAACAACAACAACAACAACAACAACAACAACAACAACAACAACAACAACAACAACAACAACAACAACAACAACAACAACAACAACAACAACAACAACAACACTGCTGACACGGAATGACAAGTATGCTGCCCTGGCCGTACCTCTTTTCTTCAACGCAATCAATGAGCGCTAGAGGTTTGTCACATCCAGGATTCTGGCACGCAGACAATCCCACAGCCAGATACCTGAGATGAACGATTCGTCGACCGTGAAGAGGGGCACTGAACGACCTCTTCGCGGGAGTCGAATCCAGTGGCGTTGGTGGTGGAGATCGCCCTTTCCGTTTTTCAGGAACTCCGACGATCGATTGTTTGAGCTTGCGAAGCTTCCCCCTCCTCAGCTTCTTGAATCGTCCAGTACGCAGAATGCGAGGCCACGTCGTGGGTGACGGATTACTCTTCCGCATCTTCAAGACTTCATCTCCACGACACGTTGGCAGGAGAACCAAGCTATCCAAAAACCGCCGTGGGTGACGGATTACTCTTCCGCATCTTCAAGACTTCATCTCCACGACACGTTGGCAGGAGAACCAAGCTATCCAAAAACCGCCGATGTCAAAACAAATCCGCCAGTAGTAGTGGCTGAGCTTCTTCCTCAAATCTTGTCTCGACCCGAGCACGCGCTGCGAAGTCATGGGCAAACTACTTACTCGATTGTGCATGATCGCATCCCATTTTTCCACTCCGAAAGGCATTATTTTTCAAAAAAATCGGAAATCCAACATGGCGCTAACCGTCGCGAACCCCCTTAACAAGTCGACAAACATAATTATTATTTTTATTATTATTTTATAATAGCTATAAAGAGAACAAATTCTGCTGTCATCGCCACACTACAACAAAGTCATGAAGGTTTACCAAAATCGATTTTCTTGTCACAATCATCAGTGGAAAGCCGTGACTGAAGAATAACCATGCCAAATCAATAATTTATCTACATTCAATAATGTGTTACGAGAACAAAACAAAGTGCTAAAAATAGAATGGGGGAAGGTGAGACAATAGAAGTAAAGTGAGAGCTAAGTGCAACAGGGGTGAGGAACTAATTGCAACGCTAGAACTATGTAGTGAGACAAACAATCATGCTGTGCACCTACGAAAACAATCTTAACGCAACTACATGTTTCTTCTGCTTACAAAGATCAGGCTTATGCAAACGAATACAAACAGCCTCAAGTACTTTCAACTGACTAGCGTACCGTGCACGACAAAGAACAGAAAAACTAAAATCATCATACACCTGCAGACACTTAGGGTGAGACAACAGATGAAGAAAAACGGCAGACTTCTTACGATCACAATCACCATCCGATTCCTCGTCTCCACCAACCGCAACCTCGTCCCCCGTCTCATCTTCCAACTCATCCTCAGTGTCGTCCTCCGTGTCATTCTCCTCATCACCACCGATCGGTCCCAGGCTCGCTTCACGTTGCTGAACCTCTGTTCGTTGACTCCTCCTTTGATCTTGATGGTAATTTGTTACCATTGTTGTTGTTGTCATTGTTGTTGTTCCTGTTGTTGCTAAATCTTTAAGATTTAGCAACAACAGGAACAACAACAATGACAACAACAACAATGGTAACAAATTACCATCAAGATCAAAGGAGGAGTCAACGAACAGAGGTTCAGCAACGTGAAGCGAGCCTGGGACCGATCGGTGGTGATGAGGAGAATGACACGGAGGACGACACTGAGGATGAGTTGGAAGATGAGACGGGGGACGAGGTTGCGGTTGGTGGAGACGAGGAATCGGATGGTGATTGTGATCGTAAGAAGTCTGCCGTTTTTCTTCATCTGTTGTCTCACCCTAAGTGTCTGCAGGTGTATGATGATTTTAGTTTTTCTGTTCTTTGTCGTGCACGGTACGCTAGTCAGTTGAAAGTACTTGAGGCTGTTTGTATTCGTTTGCATAAGCCTGATCTTTGTAAGCAGAAGAAACATGTAGTTGCGTTAAGATTGTTTTCGTAGGTGCACAGCATGATTGTTTGTCTCACTACATAGTTCTAGCGTTGCAATTAGTTCCTCACCCCTGTTGCACTTAGCTCTCACTTTACTTCTATTGTCTCACCTTCCCCCATTCTATTTTTAGCACTTTGTTTTGTTCTCGTAACACATTATTGAATGTAGATAAATTATTGATTTGGCATGGTTATTCTTCAGTCACGGCTTTCCACTGATGATTGTGACAAGAAAATCGATTTTGGTAAACCTTCATGACTTTGTTGTAGTGTGGCGATGACAGCAGAATTTGTTCTCTTTATAGCTATTATAAAATTGTTGTCTCCGCGTCGATTATTTATTATTATTGGAGGAATTTAACAAGTATTAAACAGTGCTTGTCCGATTCTCCTCCAGTCATCAAGGACGTATTGAGTAGCTGGTCGCTTACTCTGTACACGGAGAAAACAGAGTGGCTTAACCTAACCCATGATGATTGGCAATCCTCTGGCCAGCTTGGGTCCCGCCTTGGTGACAAGGAGGATTGTGAGCGAAGAATGGGGTTGGCATCAACTGCCCGTTGTAAAAAATGTACACTCTATGGGTTCGTCAAAACAAGATCGGACAGAACCGGAGACTGATAGTAGAGCCCACACGCTCTCTTCCATTAACACTACAATAGTTCAACTCATTTCACAATAATTATTCCAAAGTTTCGGCAAATTGCGTTCATCAGGTTCACATTATGGAGGAATTAAACAAGCTGCAACTGGACATAGAACGGTCTGAGAAGAATATGTGATAATGCAAGTGCATTTTTGCTTGGATGTGTTAAACTGCCCTAGAGGGCCCTCGGCCATTCGCTTGATATCATGGGGAGCGCATCAAACTATGTCCACTGCGAGCAAACACAAATTGGAATTTCAAATTTGGACTTAAAGGAGAATTTCAACTTTCCGCACCTAAGCCAAGTTGGAAGGTTGTTGGTTTGCGCTTCATAGATGTGTTGGCACTAGGTGTCAGGTTTTCGAATGTCTCAATATCCTTGTCAGTTTTGTGCCATGTTGTCTTGACATAGCAAGAACAATTATTGCACGTTATTTAATTGCTGTTTTGAAATTGGCTAAGTTAACAAAACATCAAAGTTATTACTGTACGGTAGCACTATTAAAGGCACATTACTCCTACGTACTTCTCGCTGAATAGTTCAGTTGCCACTAGGGAAATTGCCCGGTTTTGCACAATGTGGTGAATGCACAAGTTGGCAGTTACTTACAGATTCCTCAAACCTTTGATATTGTGAAACATCTCTTTGTGTAACTCTCTGATTTTATTATTGGACAAGCCTCTGCAGGTTGTAAAATAGCAGAAACAAGAAACACCAGATGACAAAAAGAATTATAAAAGGCAGATAAATTAACAATAATAATAATTATTATTAAGAGAGCATGTCTGAGAAAACCAAAACATATTATGAGCAAGTCGATCTCTCAGATTTCGCTCAAATTTTGCAGGTAGGTTTGCTTTGGGTGTAGATCTACATTCCAAAGCCCGCGCAAAATCTTTTGAAGGGAACCATGAAATTGGCATACCCCTCAATATTGGCCCAATATTGGCACGATTTATGGGTCAACAAACGAGCCACGGCACAGCGTACAAGAACAAGCTACAAACCAAACTCCATCAAGCCAACATCACCTCACCTTAAAAGAGTTCTTGGGGCAGCACCACTTAGCCACGCCAGCATCGCAGAAGACGAGGGCAATCATGGCTTGACGCCACAAATGATCATCTTGAAAATAGCCAAATTACAAGCGCTGATAAAACAGCGAGCTACGTCCTCAATTAGCAAACACTATACACCGGCAGATAGTAGAACGCCTCTTCTAGCACTGAGGCCATGTCCACCATCATCCTTTTTGGGTTTTCTTGAAATAAACAATTTTGAATTTTTCCACTCGACCATTCTGAAATACGTCCAAACTCATACCTGCGCAGGAAAGCTCGCCCCTCCGCGACGTCTAGTCAGCAATTTCTACTCCAACACCACTCCCAACGCTGCAGAACAAAGTGTACTGCTGTGATTGCCTCCGGGGCCAGCTATTACACACATCATGCATGCACATTTCAGCAAGACCTCACAATAAACAAGATCAGTGTTGAGCAAACAGATTCCAGTTGGTGCCCTGGACCCTTTTAATTAATGAATACTCACAGAGAATATAAGTTTGCGTTGCCAAAAGTTCCCACTGGAAAAGATTTTAGTTGATTGTTACTCAAATCTCTGCAAAATAAAAGAGATGAAAAAGATAAGCCAGCTGACAGTAAGTGCAGAGAGCACCCAGACCATTCTACACTAGGATGCATTGCCTAGAAGTGAAGCAATGACCACCCGCATGCCATCACTTCACCAAGCCCTTTTACAGAAGTTGCTTGTATTTGTTTTCCGGTCTATACACGGATCTGCAAGCTCTCTTTTTCAAGATTATTTTGTATTACTTGCCCAGCCTCAGATACCACTGGCTGATCATATAGTCACCCGTGGGCAGCTGCATAATTTACTTTGCATCCTGTTCCTACCCAATCCTGCTGGGAGATGTTCTAATCAATTTCTGGGCAGCACCAAATGGAACTCTCTACCCGATGCTACCTGCTCTCTAACAAACCTTGTTCATTTCAAAAAATCTCTTTCAAATCTTGATCTCACTTCACTCCATTAGCTATTGACACACTGTTATGTTCTGTCCCCAGTCCATCATTCACTGCTTATCCCCCATGTTGTCCACAAGCACACAACACACATAAAATACACTGCTGCATGGTATCTATAATTGTACTACCTCCGACAAGCGAAACTTGGCGCGTTTTTTACTTCAAATTACTCGAAATAACTCACACTTTACAATCAAAACTAATGATTGATTCACCATAATCCAACTTTGTATTATTGCTCAACAAGGATGTTGTAGTTGTTCGTCTAACATTACTTCTCCATCACTGCATCAGCTCAACCGCCACCACTGGACTGCCTTTTTACTCTCTTTTTATTGACGAATAAACAAGAACACGGAAAACGACTACATCTTGACAAGACGACAGACCAAAGACTAGCTCACACAGTTTCGCGCATGCGCACAACACCACCAACCAATGACGCGTGTCCACAGCGACCAAGACGAAACAAACACGTGACACCAAATCTACCACAAGGACGTTAGAGGCATCTGTTTGGCTGAACAACTCTCCTCTGATTCAGAGATCGCAGTTTCTTCTGGAGAGGAATTGTCCCTGTTTTGAGACGAAAGTGTGACTAGAGCGGATTCAGTTGCAGCAAGTACCTCTGTTGTAATCTCTCTGAAAATCTCGAGGTTGCTCCTGTGTGCTGTGCTCGAGCCACGTTGGCGAGGGTAGTCGTTTCCGCCGCCACTATTCAGATTGACGTGGTAAGAACTGTGCAACACCTCCACAAGCGCCTGGACTCCAAGTGGTTTGCAGGGTATTCTCGCCAACTGTCCAAAATTGCCTGGAGCAATTCCTGGCGATTTTCCTTAGCCACCAGAGACGCATCGCTCTGGTGGCTGATGAAAGACGCTAGGATTGTTTGGCATGGACGCATGGACTCTGTGCTGGCGGAGTGACCAAGAGGAGAGAGAGAGAACTCCTTGGTTTTGCATTGCAACGCGAAAGCACGACAATTCTCCTTCGCAGAATGGATGCGTGCACAGTTTTGCTGGTACAAGAGAGACACGCTTGCTTCTGACTAAGTCTGAGCCATGTGCCACTCACCAGCTCGTCGCTTGGGTTCCTGCACCCGGTGCATGGAGCTACAAGTAGGTCGTACCTCACAGGCTTGTGAAGTAGTTTTGGTACCAACATAACAAATCAAAAAAACGCGCCAAGTTTCGCTTGTCGGAGGTAGTACTGCTGATAGTCATCACATCTTATTATTTTCCATACTGTCCATAATTGATCTTACAAATCGATCACACTATTGTATTTTCATCATAGCCTGGGAGCTGTTGCATCATTTATGATCCACAGCAAGAAGGCAGCAGTGACTGTACCTATGGTGAAGTAAAATATAGGTAACATAACATGAGATAATCACCTTGACCATGGCCATCACCAATTCTAAAGGTTACGTTTGGTTGGTCACATTCCCAAATGGGAATCACTTGGAATCACTCGAAATCATTCTCGCCCGTTTGGTTGGTCAAAAAAGTGCGTTAGGTTGGTCACATTCCACATGATTCCAGAATGGGAATCGCTGAGAATGATTCTTTTTGGAGAATGATCATTCCACCTCGCATGCTGGAATGAGCATTCTCATTCCGGAATCAAAAATGATAATGGCTGCCACGAGCCAAACAATGTAGCAACAAGTTCAAGTGCCTCAAATCATGCACTCGGAAGTACCATGACTCTCTCAAGGAAACTAGAGTCGGGTAAAAGAAAAAGTCAGCCGCCGTTCCACAACGACATCATGGAATTGTTATGTCAAGTGATTCCTAATTGATTCTGGCGCGTTAGTTTGGTCAGGTGATTCTTGCCGATTCCCATTCCAGAATGGTTGTCATTTACATTCTGAAAATGCCCAACCAAACGCAACCTAAGTGGTTGTTTTAAATCCTTATTCTCACTAGGATCTGTGGCCATTAAGAGATACAGTAGGTATCGGTTATAGCATGGGTGTTTGAAAAACGACATTTCATTCTTATGGCCGAGATTTTTTACACACGATAAATCCAGTGTGGCATATCATATGCACGTGTGACATATCATAATTATGTACATGTGACATATCATATGCAAATGTGACATATCATATGGACGTACGTGTGGCATGTGCTCTTTTGTTTCCCCTCCCCTCACCTTTATTTTTGCCGTGGTTGCCAATCACCCACTCTCTCAACATTGGCCGGTGTTTCCACCGAATCTTGAGATGCTGTAATAAATAATAATGTTGGGTCCGAAGAAGGACGACTGACGACATCTTCTCCAGACATTACAACGGACAACGGGAACAAGTTATAGGGAACAACATTTATTATAGACGACGAGACAAGAGACCAGGACAAACGGAACGACTACATTGAAGAGTGAGAAAGAGATTATCTGAAGAGAGCGAGCTTATTGAAGAGAGCGAGATTGTTGAAGAGAGAGAGCTCGACTGAGAAACAATGCAATATAAAGGGCCTGGGTAGCTATGGCAAACATGGACGCGCAAGTAGCTACCCAGGCCAACGGAACGAAAGGTGAGTATGACTGAATAATTATAAAATACGTGGACACATGATACACACGGATCAATCAGACTCGCGGCAGTGCCAGGCAACTGTGGTGCAGCAGATAAGAGAGAAGTCGGAAGAAAGAGTCTGACTAACTTTGAGTCCTTCTTCGGGTCGGCTCTTTCTCATAGTGTTTTCGTTTCAAGTTGGTGAGGATTCAGTTGAGAAGATCTGTTGGTTGCTGCAATGGCGGGCAGGAAATTCATGTCGGCGGAGGAACAACTGCAAGTCTGCGCTAGCTCGAGAGTTGAACATTGCTCAGCCTACTATATCGAAGGTTATCAAACAACGAGTTGAGATCGAGGAGCGTGCTGCTTCTGGCTTCAATAACAGTGTGCATGGACGGTACAACTCTACCTCTGCATGGAATAGGAACGTCACGCCTTCCTCGTGCTGTTGCAGCAGTGCACACAACACCAGCTGAGGTTCTACAGGGCCAGTGGACACATAACAGCAAGACATGGATGAACTCAGAGGTGTTTGGTGAGTGGCTCCTGGACATTAACAACCGGTTTCGGAGAAAACAAACAAAAAGATCGTCCTGCTTGTGGACAACTGTACTGCTCACAAACTTTACCCGGTGGAAGCACGACTGGACTTCGTAAATGTTGTCTACATACCCGCAAATACTGCATCGATCATGCAGCCATGCGACGCTGGGATCATTGGCAACTTCAAGGCTGGCTACCGAAAGTTAGTGTTGCGCAAAATCACTCATCTCGTGGATGATGAATGAAAGCCAGCTGTCTTTGATGGAACGGTACGGGACAGATACGGGATAGCGCCAGACGGTGGTCCGTCCGCCACAACCAAACACCAAACTTTATTAAAGCTGTGTGGACCCTGGCTAGCGCCAGACGTTACTGGAGTAACATCTTCTGCATAGCTACGGGAATAAAAGGTGTAGAATTAGTTTCATGATCTCCAGTAAAAGGTAGCACCGACTGGCCATCACGGAAAGACCTTGAACTACTGAAGAAACAAAGAATTCAGGCTTCAATTGGCAAACCTGTCGTAGCATTTGGGCACATTCTGTACTACTTTGTAGTAGATCAGGTACTCGAACTGTATGCGCAACGGATCGGGAGCTGGCTCACCGCCGATGTCTTGCGATGTCTTGCGATGTCTTGCGGCGCCGATTTTGCTTATGTGGACCAACCCTTAGGATAGAGAAAACAACAACTCAATCTTGGGAGAGCCAATCAACAAGGAGAAATAAAACCGGAACTCTCCACGGGACCGGCGGGGGTGGGGCAAGGCGGCGTGGAGAAGCCCGGCTGCTGAAGTGTGCGAGTATGCAAGCGGCGCGGTCAATGGAGCTTTGGCCGGCAAGCGTGGGGATGCTAACCTGTGCAGCAAGCGCAGCATGCAAATAAGGCAGAAGGCAGAAGCAGTGCACATGCTCGCAATAATGACTCGTAGCTGATAGGGCATGACATCAACACAACTCGTGAAAATGCCTACGCAAACATGTGTTCAAAAGGTAACAGTGTGCTACGATGCAGGAAACGATCTCTGCGATCTAGCAGACGATGAAACAATTTGAAACTAGACAAATTGACAGGCAGTGCGTCAGAGAAAAAGGAAAATGATATTAGTAAGAGAAGAAAGGAACAAAGGAGGCGCAGAGAATGCAGAGTACCGGTATGGATGGAACAGAACGGTAAGCAAAGTCTCAAACGAAGAACACAACGTACAAATTTAAATCTATAATCCAAAGCAATAAACAATCGTGCATTATAGTATCATACATCATATACTTGTGGAGAAAGAGGCGAACTATACTACTTCACGAACCTGGACGGTGAGAACAGACGTCGAGGACCCTTGGTCATTCACAACGCTGTCACATCCAAACCAGCTAGTCGCAAGCCCGCGCTGGGCACAACAGTACGAAAGAGTGGTTTTGCCTTCGGCGATGATTTTTTAGGAATGGATATAATAGTAATAGCGCGAGCTCCAGTGTGGGAGCAAACCCATTCCTAAAAATGTTTCTTGTATTAGTTTTAGATCTAATAACGTTCACCTCGTTGTACCATAAATATCTTTCATTTGTTGTCCAACTATCATTGTGATGAAAATTTCTGATGATAATCACAAGAAAACGACGTTCAAATTTTAACATATTGTTCAATTGTTCGTGGTATGAGTGCGCTCATTTTACTTTCGTCAATATTAGGTTTCTTGTCTCCACGCCGACTTTTTAATTATTATTATAAAAATTACTATTCATGAAGTTGGTTGCTCCAACAAGGAGTACACACTTCTTGCCGAACTTGACACTTGACTGACTCCCGACTGCCATCCGGAGCACACGAGGAGCACGTCGCACCTTCCGCTCGGCAAAACTGAAAGAAAGCACCACTCCCTGCTCAATACACAGTGTTTCGGGGAATTCACCCCTCATCAGTTGAGCTTGAGTAGGCTGAGGAAGATTGTGCCTGAAAAGCACCACTTATATACTGCTCTCCAGGCCAAACCATCACCAGGGATACAAACTTACAGAGACGCTTTGTTTCCAGCGCGACAAACACCTCGAGCCAGTATAGCTATTCACAACGCTGTCACCTCCAACAACTAGTCGCATGTCTGCGTGAGGGACAACAATACGAACTTAGAAGTTGCGACTTCGGCGGTAATAGTCTAAGTTCGTAAAATTACTATTGGCTCAACATCCGAGTTATTTAGAAACTGGCTGACTTAACGAAACCTCTACACTATTACTGTTCTGCTAGTATCAACAGCATAATTATTACTCCTGGGTTCTTCTAGCTGAATAGTTCAGTTGCCACTAGGGAAACTGACCGGTTTCGGACAATGTGAATGCACAAGTTGGCAGTTACTTACAGACTCCTCAAACCTTTCATATTGTGAAACACATCTTTGGGTAACTCTCTGATTTTATTATTGGACAAGTCTCTGCAGGTTGTAGTAAAGCAGAAACCGGAAAAACAAGGTGACAAAATGGAAGATTTAGAAGGTTGCAAGTAACAGCTAAAACAAGTCACCAAGCAGATTATGATCGGAGGAATTAAACAGGCCGCAATCGGAACAGAACGATCTTAGAGCACCAGCCTATGTTTCTAGCTCCTTCCCGTTTTCTGTCATCTCAGCATGGAACAGCTTGCCGAGCAAAATTGTAAGGGCTCCATTCAGCTTGAAGCGGCTCCACACCTTCAAAAAAGATATACATAAACACCTCACGCACCAACACTGGCTGATGGCTACGGACTTCTACGGATGAACTCTAGATTGTGGCACGTGTCATTTTCCTCGGTTCGGCCATGCTGATGATATTTAGCTTCATTTACCTTTCATTATTTTTGTATATCGTTTGTTATGATTTCTTGGTTTTCCACCCGGTTTAGTATATATGGTTTGAGTCCTGGTGGTGACAGTCAATTTTTTCTTCAGACTTTTCCCGTTTGCCTCTTTCCCTCAAACTAGTGAAAATAATAATAATATTAAATAATAATAATTTGGAAAGGATTGGGAGAACTTCAAATTCAAAGTATCAGTCGGGGAAGTGAACTGCCTGAAAAGAGAAAAAAAAACGCCAGACCCACCAGGACTCGAACCTGGGACCCTGCTTGTCATGAGCAATGCTCTAACCACTGAGCTATGGGACCAGGCTAAACCTAGAAGGCGCTGGGACGTGGAGAGTCGACGCCAGAGGGGTCGCTGCCCTCCTCGGGGGTGTCCTCCCCGTCGGCGCTGGCTGCGGCGACCCGGGCACGATAATAATAATATTATAGCTATGCCGCCATGCTGCACGTGCGGAAAGGCCTCGACCTGTTCAGGCTGCAAATGCGCCAAAGCTGGACGTCAATGTACTAACTGCTCCGCCAATCGCCATGGAACGTGTCGTAACTCCTGTCGCTCAGCGTCGTCACAGACGGCCGGCAGCGCTGCTGCCGCCTCTCATCTGGCTTTCTCTTCATCGTGCCCAGTACCCTCCGCCGTGAATACTCGAAATTCAAGAACTCGAAATTCGAATGTTCAAGGAGAATCTCAAATATCGGCCTCCTCTTCCTGCCACGATGGTCGCGGAAACCCTTCTACCACGTCCTCACAACCCAGCGGTGCTGCCGCGGAGACGTCTGTTTCATCCTCATGCCCCACTGCGGCTTCTGGCTCAGGCACTCAAACTCCCCAGGTTCGAAACTCCCAAGAGAATTCTCAGCCGCCTTCCGGTACGCACAGCACTGGGGATGCGCACGCCCTGGACTACTCTGCCATTTCATCCCAGGACATTGACCTGCTTGCGAACTTGGACGCCTCTCAGCCACCTGATCGACTTCCTGACGCTGCACCAGCCCTAAACTGCCAGCCGTTCACCTGGGCTTCCGTCCCATCATCGCAGTTTGAGCAAACCCTGGAGCACGCGAGAGAAGTTGTCGTCAACTGGCGTCGCAACATTTTTGCAATACCATCTGGAAAAGCAGGCTGTGCGTTCGTGGAGGAGCAGGCTCGTCTCCTGCAACTCCTGTCCCCTGACACACCTCAGGAACGCATTGCTCTGAAAGCTGCTATGGTGTTTCCGCCGCTTCTCCTGCAGAAACCTTTCCGGACATCAAAGGCTGCTGATCATGTCCGCTGCTTGCAGCGTCGACTCCAACTATGGAAAGATGGTGATATCACTTCCCTGCTCCACGAGGGTCGGCAGATCCAAGACCACCTACCATCTGGTCCTCTCCAGCGGTCTGATGACGCAGCGGTGAAAGGCTTTACCCGTCTCATGCTCGCGGGCAAAGTGAAAGCAGCAATTCGTTGCCTGCACACCTCAGGCAGGGGGGGGCGTCCTTCCCTTGCAGGCTGACTGCGGTGGTGGCCAGTCCACCATAGATATTCTGAAAGCCAAACACCCATCACCGGACTTGGATGGCCCCTCATCCGATGTACTGCTACAGGGTCCGTGCCGCCCAACGCATCCCGTGCTGTTCGAACCGGTGAATGCTGCATTTGTCCGGGCTACCTCCCTTTCCCTGTCTGGTGCGGCAGGGGTGTCTGGGCTGGATGCAGATGCCTGGCGGAGGATGTGTTGTTCATTTGGAAGATCTTCCACGGGCCTATGCAACGCTGTAGCCATGCTGACGAAGCGCCTCGCCACCTCTCCTCTCGACTCGGGTGCTTTGGCGCCGCTGCTGGCTGGGAGGCTTGTGCCCCTGGATAAGAATCCTGGTGTGCGCCCGATCGGCATTGGGGAGACCCTCCGTCGCCTCATTGCCAAGGTGGTCCTCCGCATCACGCGTCAGGACATTGTTGAGGCCGCGGGGGCACTTCAAACCTGTGCTGGGCAGGAGGGTGGGGCGGAGGCCGCTGCACATGCCCTATGTCGCCACTTTGACAGCAGCAACACAGAGGGAGCACTCCTGGTCGATGCTACCAACGCGTTCAACTCCCTGAACCGTGCAGCTATGCTCCACAACATCCACCTACTATGTCCATCAATAGCAACAATTTCGAAAAACTTTTACCGCAGCACAGTACCTCTCCACGTCAGCGGTACGGTCATCTGGTCTGCTGAAGGCACCACGCAAGGCTGCCCACTAGCCATGCCCCTCTACACTATTGCCATTACGCCACTCGTCACTACCCTCGCCACCGCCCTTATGGACGACTCTCCAGCTGGCACGGTGCATGACCGCGAATCGCCTGAGAGACCAGCCGGCGTCGGTGCGTCCGCTGCTCGACCGGACGCCTCGACCATCCAGCTATGGTATGCCGATGACGCGGGAGCCGCTGGCCTGCTGCGGCGCCTTCGCACTTGGTGGGACCAGATCTGTCAACTTGGCCCAGCATTCGGCTACTATCCAAACGCTGCCAAGACTTGGCTGGTTGTCAAGCCCAAGCATCTCGATGCTGCCAACGCTGCATTCGCCGACACCGATGTCCACATCACCACGGAGGGCCGCCCCTACCTGGGTGCTCCTCTGGGCTCGGAAGCCTTCAAGACAACATTTTGCAATGCTCGAGTGGAGGCTTGGGCATCTGAGATGCGTGAGCTGGCGAACGTGGCCGAGGCCGAGCCCCAAGCCGTGTATGCCGCACTGGTCTTTGGGTACCGTCACCGCTGGACATTCCTGATGCGCGTGTCGAGCTGTGCACCAGACGTCTTCGAGCCTCTCGAGTCCTCTCTTCGCTCCGTCTTGTTGCCAGCTCTATTGGGTGTGCCAGTCGTCCCTGCCCCTCTACGCAGCCTTCTTGCTCTGCCTGTGCGTCATGGTGGCCTTGCAGTGCTCAATCCAGTTGAGGCTGCCCCGCAACAGCGGACAGCATCTCTGTCCATCACGAGCAGTCTCCAGCAACTTATCGCGGACCAGTCCTCCCTCTACAGCGTGGACCCAGCAGCCATTTGCGCCGCCAAGGCTGCTGCCAAGCAAGCCCAGTCTGTGACAACCAAGACCGTCCTGCAGACAGCTGGTCCAGAGGCCCTACCACCAATGCTTCTGGAGCACCTCCAGGCCAAGGGAACAGGTGCATGGCTGACCTGTCTTCCTGTTCGCGAGCATGGATACTCCCTCGACCGGCGGTCCTTCGTTGATGCCCTATGCATTCGGTATGGCCTCACCATCCACGGTTCACCTACCGAGTGTCCATGCGGCCGGCCGTTCACCATCGACCACGCAATGATCTGCAAGTTGGGCGGCTATCCCATCCACCGGCACAACCATGTCCGCAACTACCTGGGCCAACTTCTTTCTCAAGTGTCTGAGGATGTGCAGCTGGAGCCACCGCTGCAACCTCTACCGACGGTCCGCACGTTTGACCATGGTCCTGCCCTGCTCACTGCGGACGACGCCAGACCGGACATCAAGGCCAGGGGGTTTTGGTCGGTACAGACTGATGCATTTTTTGATGTAAGGGTGTTCTATCCCAACGCACAGTCGTACCGATCTCGCCCGCTGGCTGAGGTGTTCCAATGGCACGAGCGTCAGAAGCAGTCGGCATACGGTGCCCGGATCCGGGAAGTTGAGCACGCGTCGTTCACCCCGATCGTCCTGTCTTCCGCTGGTGCCCTGGCGAAGGAGGCCACCCGGTTCCTGAAGCTGCTCGGAACGAAGCTCTCCACCAAGCTCTCGCAGCCTTATCCCCTCGTGATGGGAAAGCTGCGGACGGACCTGGCTTTCAGCCTTGTCCGCGACTCCGTCCTGATGGTTCGTGGGAGTCGCCGTGCATTCCGTGCACCTGGTCTGGCGGCGGATGTGGATGCTGTTTCTGTGGAGGCCCGCATTCCCGCCACTACGTGACGCTAAGTCCTCCTGGGGTTTGCCGCTCTCCGGTCCTCTTTCATCCCGTTCTCCCCTCTTTTTGGGGGATTCTTTGTACTTCGTCTTTCTTGTTTTTCTTGTTCCTTTGTTTTTTGTAGGACAGATTTTTGGTGTACTGATTTCGGTCGTTGTTGTGTCTGACTCTATTCCCAATATCTAATTCTGTGGTTGGTTTTCCAACTCATTGGGTTTTGTAGTTTCCATCATGAGTTTGATTCCATCGTGAGTTTGATTCCATCGTGAGTTTTGATTCTATTTGCTATTTTTCGTTCCATTTTTGAGCTCATATTTTATTTTCCTGATTTCTTCTCCAGTGTATGTTGTATTGCATTTTAATACATTGTGTTAATTTTTGCCCGTAAAAGAGGCTTCCACTTCAAATAATAATAATAATAATAATAATAATAATAATAATAAGGCCAAACTAAAGAAGGTGTGTGGTTCGACTAACATGGACATTTTTTTTACGGGCGGGCGGGCGGATTTTTTTTTTTTTTAATATATTTTTTAGTACATGTAAATACACTGTACTGCCTTTAGACACCCAGTACATCGGCATTATTACGCAGTGTTATGCCATACATGTTGTATAAAAGGTCTAAACTTTTTGAATTTTTCGAGTGCGGATGCAGTTTTAGGAGCTCCGCT